CGGCCCATTTAGGGTGCATGAAACAAAGGAGAAAAAACAGAAGGAAAACGACGATGATAGAGTTTCAATATCCGAGATGATTCCGTAGAGATCCTTCGGTTTGGTGATTGAAACGAGGGCTTTGATTAACCCTTGGGAGTCTGATCTTAGCCAGATTTTAGTGTAACCAAGTTGAATGGCGTGGGAGATGGCAGCACGAACCGCCATAGCTTCCGCCTGTAGAGCCGACTTCACGAACTGTTGCGATTGGGATCCTTGTAGCGTTTGGGAGTCTTGCAAGGTGAAAATCCATCCCAAACCAGAGGCTTTAGTAGTGGGGTTCCACGCTGCATCCGTATTACACCAGATCGTTCCGGGAGGAATTGTTGGCATCGGAGGTTGCAGTAAAAGCGGGATGGTTGTGCGCTGAGGTTGATTCAGATGTGCCAGTGTCCACTCTTGCGCGTCTGTGAGAGCTTTTGTAATTACTTCCACAGGGGAGAATTGTCGGGATTCGAAAACTCGTTGGTTTCTTAATGTCCAGAGTGTCCATACGATCCAGAAGGAAACGTCTCCGCTGACTCCAGTAGGTGGTAAGCAAATCCATTTCTGTGATTCCTCAAGTGCCGCAGCGAAAGAAGAGCATAATTGAGAGTTGAAATGTGATTTCAGAGGGGCTTCGTTCCAGACTTGGGTCGAAAAGGCACAGTGGAGGAATAGATGGTCAATTGTCTCGTCTTCTCCACAATAAGAGCAGCTGGTATTGTGGTTGATTCCTCTCTTCTGCAGATTATCACCCGTAGGGATAGCCTTGTGGAGGATTTTCCAAACAAGGAGTTTCATTTTTGGTGGACTCATAACGTTCCAGACGGATTTGTTCCAATTCACAGTCGCTGTTTCCGATGGTAAAAGTGGTCTCTGGGTATCGATCTCTGATGCAGTTATGTACCCCGATTTAGCTGTGTACACCCCTGACGTTGTGGGATACCATATATAGGAGTCCTTTGCTCATGTCTCGCTCGGCCTGATGGCCAAAATTTCTTCAACCACGTCAGGTAATAATTCTCTAATCTTGTGGATATTCCACTTCCCTGATCCTCTTAGCATCAGATCAGATACCATTAGATCAGTAACCTCGATTTGTATAGGACCGTTGGGGCAGAGAAGTGCTTCAGAAGAGATCCATGGTTCACCCCAAATCTTTGTGGAATCTCCATTCCCTAGTAACTTTCCAAGCTGCTCGATGAGGAGGTCTCTTCCTGCCAACACTACCCTCCATCCATGGGATTGCAGACGTTGGTTCCACTCGTAGGAGGCTGGCTGATTGACAATACTTTCCAATGAGAACTCTTGATAGCAGACAATCAGGGTGAGTGAGTAGACGCCAAGGTATTTTCGCTAGTAAGACCGTGTTGAAACGTTGAATCAGGGTGAGTGAGTAGACACCAATATATTTATCTAATAACGTGCAAAAAAAAAAAAAAAACTTAATCCCAAAAAGGCCATGTTTCACTAGTTACCATTCTCCTCTAGGCCCTAGCTAGGTTCACTGGATTTGTATTGTTTTCATTGGTACATACTTACGATAGGCCAGTATATCAACAAAAACAAAAAAGCCCATGAAATAACAGTGAGTAATCGTACAAAACACTATACATATCTTCCTTTTTTATATAGATATATAATCTAACAGTTAGTCTCATGGTTTTGATCGACATTGCATTAGCATAAATATTATACTATTTATTATTCAATCAACATTTATCAAAGAGACATTTAGAAAAAAAAATTATCAACTGCTAATGTTCTCCAAATGATATTTTCTCTCATATGAAATTTTTAGAAGAGCATTTACAGTTATAATATAGAATTTTTTTAAAAAAACTATATATATATTTAATAATATAAAAAAAAATTAATATAAAAATAACTTATATTTTAAAAAATAAAAATTGCAATGAAATATTTTTAATTTTTTTATGAGAACAAGATTTCTCATTTAAAATATAATATAATTTATATAAGTACACATCGTTCATTATGTTTAATAACAAACATAACATAATATATATTTATATGTTATAGATATAACTATATCTATATTGTTAGACACTAATAAATAAATTATATAACATATCTAAATTTTTATAATAAATTTCTATGTGAATTATTTATTGATTTACCAATAAATAAATAATGATAATTTATTTATTTATTTATTTAATAGTATTAAAATTTCTGTCTATATCCAAAAAGAAAATATTTTAAAATAAATTTACATTTTTAAAATAATAATATTTCACATATAAACTATAATATAATTTACATAATGAATAATAATCACTATTTTAATAACAATTATATTATTAATATATATTATAAATGCATAAATATTATTTTAAAATAAATATATTATTATACTAATTATTATGATAATTTTAAATTTATATACTGATATTGCTCTACCAGTTACTTTATTAAAAACTTGGATAAACAATTTATTTACCTATGAGAACTATCATATAGCATTAGATCCCCACCAAATTATGACCTCATGCTAGATCTCCACGAATTAAAAATTACAAATCTGTGTCTCCATGAATCAATAATTTAAAATTTAATTACCCATACATGATGGTTTTAATTAGTTTATTCTTAACCAAATATCTTAAATTAAGTAAACCAAACCAAAATTCAATTTTTATATAATTTTTTTATCAGTTTCCATTTGTGATGTATCTTTGTTTTTTTATAAACAAAACAAAATCTTCTTCTGCTATAAAATAAATTCATTATTTTATACAAAAATTGAATTTTGGTTTAACTGATTTTAAGATATTTGGTTAGAAATAAACCAATTAAAACTATTGTATGTGGGTAATTAAATTTTAAATTATTGACTCGGGGAGAAATAGGTTGTAATTTTCAATTCGTGGAGATCTAACATGAGGTCATAGTTCGATGGAAATCTGATGTTATATGATAGTTCTTGTGGGTAAATAAATCATCTACCCTAAAACCTTTAATGAAAGTATACAGCTTCATAGTATTTCTACAACATACTGTTACTGTTTAATCAGCTGTTGGTACCAATCGAGCCCTCATTTACTTCAGTTCGACATTTAGAAATGAATAAACACAGGACAACATTAGTAGTGCGTTCACTACTTCACGTAATCTCCGAGACTCCGATCAGACAAGGCTAATGATTCGAGTTCGATCGAGGTATCGGTCTGTGAATTAATACGATTATTCCAAACCCAGTCATCAAGTGAGTGGAGTCATATGATCATTCTTTCTTTTCGTTTTTAAATATTGCATATGATTATTTCTCTTATTGTCTTGAATTTCTCGTGGCAGTTATTCCAAGACAAGTTATTAAGTGAGTGGAGGCAAAAGAGGTCTCGCAAGAGGATATTGCTTCGCCAAGCATCCCAGGAGGGTTAGGCTAGGAACCTTTATGTGATGACGAGAGGTGTGGAGTCGAATCATCCAGTGGAGTGGAGACAAGAGTTGTCTCATAACATCCAAACGAACAATCATGAAAAAAATTCTTCTCTCCTGTACATAAGGGCATGCACATTTATGGGTGGTGGAAAATATAATGCACCGTTTTCAGATGACGGGGTCGTGACCATGGGAAACACTTTATGGGGATCATTAAGACTGGGGCAGAGGCAGTGCTTCCAGGAAAGGGTGTGCAGGACTAAGGTTGGATAGATCCTTTGGAGTTAGGCAGACCAACCCGAGAGATTTCAGAATATTTGTCATTGATCATGGATCTGAATTTGAAGAATGGACTAGGTCATCCCTGCAGAAACTGGTCGGGTACTGTAGCCATATCCATGCAGAACCGGAGACAGGGTAAAAGCAGTCGAAAATGATCCAATGGAAGGAGGCTGGCTCGGTATGGAAGAAGCATATCCGAGCACCACACGTTCTTAGGTAAAAGTTTGTGACATTCTGCTCCGTTGCATGAATTTCTCTTATGTTCTCTCGAGCTTTTTTCTTCCATATGTCTTCTTCACTCTATAAATCAAGTTTTTTTGTATAACTATTACTATTTGAGAAGTGATTTCACATAATTTTTCTACAATTATTTTCACAAATATATTGTAAACTTTAGAATATTATTTAAGTCTATTTTTATAATCATACAATTTTTATTACTAAAGAAGATTTTAAAAATTTTATACAATTTTTAAAAAAAATTATAAATTTTTTTATTGTAACACTATTTGTTTCTCTTTGATATTTACAAATTTAGAAGTTCTGTTTAATAATATACTTTGATAATTATAAAAGTAATATCAATTTTTTAAAAAAGATTATACAAATTGATTTAATTTTTCTTAACCAAAAGAAATAAATGCAACAACTTAAAAATGTTTACTTTTTGTTTAAATAAATTAAAAATAATATTGAAACATTGATATGTACATAATAACATCTAAAATATTAACAAAAATCTATCTTTATTTGAATTTAAAATTTTTCCGATGCACATGGTGCAGAAAAACATATAATATTTTTATATATAAGTTGTTAACCTTTGTTTTTGTATCTATTTTCTGTGCAAAGTTACTAATAAAAGTTGTGAATATATGAACTATTAATTGCAACATAAAGAAAGCATAATTACATGGAAAGTATAAGCTAGTTAACTATCCCATGCTTTCTATAAGATATTTATAAGTGAGTTCTATAGATCCCTTTTAATGTGTGTTTTAAATCAGTATCAAACCGAATCTCACGTTTTAAATGTCTAACAAACCTTGTTTGGATTAAAACTTAACTAACTGATCAAGACGTTTATCTATATCTCACTTCCACATTGTATCATATTAAATCTGGATAGCGATATTAACAGAAATCACGATACTACAATTGAGACGTGCGTTTATTAATATGATTATCAAAAGTTCACTATACCCCCCGAATTATTTTTGTCTTAATCAGCATTTATAAAACGGCTTAGTGTAAACATCACACTGGATATATTTTTACTTTTCGTGATACTCTTAACGCATATATATATAGACAACAAAGCATCTATCGTTTTATCTTTACATTTATCACACTTCCAATCTCTTTTCTCCAAACCAAAGCAAGATAACAAAACTTTCGCTCTCGTCTTTAGCCACGTAATCATGGACGTCGAGCATCACAACTCCGGCCATATCAGTAGACCAACGGTGGTTATTCCATCGTCGAGAAAGCTTCTTTCCTCCGTCAAATCTCCTTCTTGGGCATCTAGTCCTCGTCACCACGATGATGATCAAAAAGACTATTGTTACGACCCTGACTCTGACTCTGACGATCCTTACTCCGGAGACCATTTCCGGATGTACGAATTCAAAATCCGACGGTGCAACCGTAGCCGTAGCCACGACTGGACAGGCTGTCCTTTCTCTCATCCCGGCGAGAAGGCTCATCGTCGTGACCCTCGCCGGTATCACTACACGGGTGAACTCTGTCCTGAGTTTCGCCACGGTGGAGATTGTAGCCGTGGTGATGAATGCAGCTTCGCTCACGGCGTTTTCGAGTGTTGGCTCCATCCTAGTCGCTACCGTACGGAAGCTTGTAAAGACGGTAAGCATTGTACGAGAAAAATATGTTTCTTTGCTCACTCTCCGCAGCAGCTTAGAATTCTCCCACCGCCAGAGAGTTTCGCCTTCTCTGGCGGTGGGGGATCGTCACCCGCGTCGGTGTTAAGTAACAAAAGTACTAATGGGTGTTGTATGTTTTGTTCCCACTCTCCAACGAGCCCACTATTTCGTTTAGCACGATCACCGTCGTCGTCTCCGCCTCTATCTCCGGCTGATAAAGCCGCTGAAATTTCACGGCTGAGTCGCCACCGATCTGCCGTGACATACAAGGAAATACTTAACGAGCTGATTAATTCTTTAGATTCCTTCAGTCTCACGGAATCACTCACCGCTGCTTATTCCTCGTCTCCGATCACAATGCCGGTTTCCACGGCGTCAATGCTTGCCTCATCAGGTTACCTCAGTGGCCAGCTTCAGCCGCCGCCGCTGAGCTTTTTCAGTGAAGAGTTTACACCACGCGGTGGTCGCGTAAGCAATTTCACGGCAGCTGCAACTGCAGAGGCTGAAGCTAGGGAGACGAGTAGCTTTGAGATTGGTTGTAGTGGCGATCTTGATCTCGGATGGGTGAACGATCTCCTGACATGATCTATGTAAATGGTTGGAGATACTTTCAGTCGGAAAGTAATGTACGGTGGTATTGTCTATTGAAAATTGTTAATTTCTATTCTTTTTTCTCCATGAGAGTTAATTAAAAGTCTGTACTATGCCATGCTTTAAAAAAGAAAAAAACTTCTTCCCGTTTTCTTTTTCTTTTTTTTTTTTGAAAATAAGAGTCCATAGCTTCTATTGTAATATTGATCTCTTGGAACTTGTAATATCTGCTATACTGGGATCGAATTTCTATGTAATGTTTACTTCAAAATATTCTGTTTAATTAGTACTAAAAGAAAAGTGTTATTAATTGTTCATTTCTCTTGAATATGTCTAATACAAATGTAGAGTTTTCTTACATCGGTTCATTGAACAATACTTGTACTTTGTATCGTAGGAATCAAATATCGTCAATAGATGATGATGGTAAGAAGAAAAAGCATTAATGCATACTCTTGATGTATGCTATAAACTACTAATAAAAGCGTTCTAATTTCTAGATTATATATCGCTCGAGTATATTTAGTTGGAGGGATAACGTTATCGTTAGGTTTCGCATGTCGATAATGAAGCAAATGTACTAATACTATCATTTACTACAAGATCTTTTAAGTCTTCAGTATCATGACACTTTGAATTATACTAAAAGAATAAGATGAAATACTTATCTGAGCGACAGCTGTTCATGCAGAGAACTGTTCGTTATTTAGTATATATACGATATATGTACATGTGATCATGTGCACTGTATATACATAAATAGATAACCATAATAGCAAATATACAAAAGCAAAGTGTGTCGGGGTGCGAAGGTGTCATGTGGACCGCATGACCCACCAATACTTTAGTTCCCATTCTCATCTCGATGAGACGATCAGTCCTTTAGATGTCCCCCCCCCCCCTATTTCACTATCATGCATTACATAATTTACATTTATATATACGATGGAGCAAGGACAGTGGGCCAAAACACCATAAAATGGACCCAAATAAAGCTTGGATTTTAATATTGTGGTGCATGGAACCTCGAACTATTTACTTCTTCTTTGAAGAATTTGGTGCATTGTATCATATCTGTATTTCAGTTCCCATCTTTTTCTTGACTTTTCTGATGGAGTGTACTTTTTGATGTGAGTGCAACATGGTAGATGAATACTACAATGAGAAGAGAGTAAACAGTTAAAAGTTTTGTGAGAAAGCTTTTGCAGTATTAATTAGTTTTTAGTCGGTGAATGTGATTTTGTCTGGATTGATAATATCGTAAACACAAACATGATATTTAGCAAAACTACCTTTTTAATGGTATCGTAGACATGAACTCAAGCAGAATAATCTCCAAGATTTATTGAAAAGTTCGTTCATTCGTCTTGTTGTTATATAAAGCGTCTAGAGTGGTTAATAAGAAATCTAACACAACTCTTGGTTGATGCATCGATCTGTAAATCTAGTTCCACACTTAAATGCGCCATTGATGTTCAAACCTCTTAGCAAAAAAAAAGTTTCAAACCATTACTGTTCTATATATACCTTCTGTTACTCTATACAACAATTTTAGTTAGTTGTATTTGTATACATACTCAACTCCGTGATCTGTATAGTGGGATAGTAGCTTATAAACATACAATTTTCTTTTCCTTTTTTATTTTGCATTTTCGAATCACTTTAAAATGTGTTTATAGTATTATGTTGATCTGTGACAAGTTTCAAAATCTTATATTAAAACATCTTATAACAATATATATATATATATATATACACATATCTACTGCATACAAATACAATATATATACATAATTTGTTGGAAAAAAATGACTTTGAAAATCATATATTGAATAGGTTATTTGTTGTTGACTAAAAGGTTTATGGACAAGATCCCAACCTCCCCATATAAAAAAAACACAAATATGTAAACAGTATCCGTCCAAACGTAATTTAAGAATCTTTTGTTCAAAGATAATTTGCTAATTATTTGGTTACACTATAAGTCTATGATATAACTATGTAACTATGTAAAAAAAAAAAAAAAAACTATGTAACTATGTCTGAGAATTCTCTGTAGGCATGTACAACAACTATATCTTGTGATGAGATCATAACCAGAGTAACCGAGATCAGCTTGGTTAATGGGGATGTGCATCATAAGTTTTTATTTGTTCTCCTACATAACTGGGGTTATCTTCCACCTATTCACGTTTCGTATCTGTTTAGTTGGCAGCTCGTTATGTAATTTCTAGAGTATATAAGGGATGACTATCTTATGGAATGGAGAAAAGAACATTGCAGCAACTTGTCCTAAATTCTCTGGAAACCGGAATGTTCTTATCTTTAGTTTTAACTTTTGATCAACATTGTTTGCTCTAAACCGGTGACTTATCAGCATTTGGAGACGCTAACACCTTTAAGAATGAAAACATAGTTGACATGAATACCTTTAGGAATATCCAACCGATGTCATTTCGCTAATACCTTCTGCAAGATATGGTTACAGTTTTACGAATGCCCAATCTCCATTTTCAATGACATTGCTTCCTCTGGTTTTGACCAAATGCTTCATTACAGTTCTCTGGACGATTTGTCATGTGTTTGGGTCCTTTGGGATAGGTGGTGGAGAACGACCATAAAGATCTGGGTAAGGAGTGGTGTCCCACTTCATTGGAAGAGGCACACTTCATTGGTGGTCAGACAGTGTTTTTGGATAGTGAAGTTACTATGAAGAAAGCTTACCCCAACCAGCTATATTAGTAACACAATTACATTTCTTAAAAGAAATCTCAAAGGCACTTTATAAGTTTATGTTACACATAAACACACTTTAAGCTGAGATATAAAGTTGTCGGAAACGAGTAAGAGGCTTATGTTTAGATTGAGATTCTAGCATCCGAGTTTATCTTTTACCAAATCAAGTAAAAGAATGAAAACATAGTTGACATGAATACCTTGTTTGCATCCGAGTTTATCTTTAAAAGAATGAAAACTCGGATGTTACCAAATCAAGTAAAAGATTGAGATTCTAGCATCCGAGTTTATCTGATAAGTCACCTCTATATTTCTTTTTTTTTTCCAGTTCATTCTTTTTGATGCTTGTATCAGCATTTTCAGTTGAGTTCAGAAAAGTCACAAATGTCACGGAACTGTAAACATGTGAGGAGAAGAAATAATAAAATTTTGTTTAATTGTCTTTGCAGTTTCTGGTATAACCAGATGATGATGACAATCTTGACTGTGACTGAAAAAACTCGAAAGGAGTTCCAGGGCCAAAGGAGCGTCGTGTTGTGTTTGGAGATTCTGATAACAGAGGCTCGTAAACCGGGCTTCGGATCTTCGGCTGAGTCATGGAAACTGGAGACACCTCCTTCTCGATGGTCCTGGGTTGTGTTTCAATATTACCTAAGGTTAGTATTGGACCGCCCATGCGTTCAGCTTGTTGGAGTATATTGATCTTGCTCGGTCTGTATGTGTAACGGTAGTACTTCAATGCGAATATAGGACCCATCCCTGCTCCAACTATCAGCTGCACAAGAGAAGAAGGAAAAGTGTTTGTTAATGGAGATTTAATAGATAGGAGATATATGACTTTTGATTGATACTTACAAACATTGTAATCCAGTAAGAAGGTTGAGAACAGAGGCGGAACATGATGGTGTACATTCCCGATGATGGTATGGCGCTGAAGAGAAAGTTTATGACATAGAAACCAACCAGATTCCCCCAGATGGAAAGGTGCTGTAACACAGTAAAGGAACTGCACCCAAAAACAGCAAGAAAAAAAAGCATTACGCATTAGTCGAGATGTTTGTGACCATCCGCAAGGATAAGGAGCTGTACTTGGTTTCTTGAGCGACAACAAAAGCTTGAAGCCATATACATCCAGAGAGAGCTACCATTCCAAGCTCCTCCATTTCACTTTTCTCATATGCATATGCGTGAATAGTTATTACAAATACAACAATCGCCTGCAAATAAATCCTAGATTTCAGATTATCTTTTTACAAGGGAATATAAGTAGATTTGAGATGACATGTACTCACGTGGAAAAGGGAACGACCAAACCACCCCGCAAATGTGCTTGGATTGAGAAGCCTGGATTGGGGGGAAACATGAAAAACATACATATATAGATTAACATGTGAAAAAGATATGCATTGACATATGAACAGTTAGCTTCACATTCAGTTAAACCCTCCTCAACAAAATCAAAGCAGATTTATACACATAATTAGTTATGCATACCTTCCCGCTTGGCAGTAGAATAAAATTTGAGGATGTTGCATTACTGTCGTTTCACTAAGATCTTTATCAATTACACTAACTAGAACAGGAACACTGGTGTAGAACACGTTATAAGCCATCAAGCTAACTGAATTGAAAAGACTGGTTCCAGAAACGCCTGAAATAAAAGAGAAGCTGCGTAGATTCTGTTGTCAGTTATTTCAGGAATGACAGGATGCTATCTACTCATAAGTGAAAACATATCTGAGAAAGTAATGAACTTACAAAATCTGGATAAAGCATATCAACAATGATTTGTAGAAGGAATACTGGGACAAAAACGCTGTCCGGTTATACGAATACCTCCCATGAACAAGAATCAGTCTTTTCAGAAACCTAAATCCTGCACGCAAAAGATCAGTCCATCAAGATCCAATTATATATCTTTTGATAGGTTTGATCTGTAAAACAACTACGTAACAAAATGTATGTGGTATGTATCTTCAAGTTGATATAAAGGATAATAAGGATCTTGCTAATGCTCTTACTTCCAATGCTATAATCTGCAGCTCTTGCTGCCTGCAGCCCTTCTCTTCCGCTAATGCCGACCCCGATATCAGCTTGCTGTATCATTCTTACATCATTCCCACCATCACCAATTGCTAGGGTTCGATAATCACAGGATTTTAAGATTTCTACCAACTGAAAAGTCAAGAAAAAATGTTCAACCATTAACATCAATACTTAAAAATGTAACCAAAAACAATAGCACCTAACGGTTGGAGGTGTACCTGAGCTTTTTGTGAAGGTGTGACACGACAACAGATGGCTGTCCTAGAAAGTATAGCTAATTCAACAAAATCCTTTCGATGGTGTTTCAGAGCAATTTCTAGAGCCCAGCCATCAATAACAAATGCCACGTCCTGTACCACCCATTAAATTATTCTCTGCTACAGGAGATAGTAAATTGTTCCAAGGATGCAAAAAATCAAGAGAGAGTGAACCTTAGGTTCTGAAGTTGTAGTCCGC